ACCTGTCCTCTTCCTGTTCCTCGAGATGGTGACCCTGGATGAGTACTCGTGTTGGGCCCACTGTCCCCGGGCCAGTGTCCATCAGCCAGGTGCCTAGCCCCTGTTGCATTGAAGCTCTGGCCCTTCCTGTCGCCTTGGTCTCTGCATTGAGCTTGGGTGAGCCCATCAGGGTGCCATTGGATGCCTAAGCAGGGAGGGGGTGCCCTGGATTGGGTCGATGATGAGAACCTCATATTGTTCTGAAGAGAAGTGATGACTTAAAAATTATGCTCAATAGGATTACGCTGAGGCTCAGCCTAGATGAGAATTTTGGAAGAGGATGCTGGGATCCCTAGGTCCCCAACAGGGCCACTGTAGTTTGGGCTGGAGACCTGGAGTCCTTGAAGGGCACCTGGAGGGGGCCCAAACCTGTCTCTGCGTTCCTCCGTGAAGCAGTCCAGGCTCTCTGTGCAAGCTTCGTGTCAGTACTCCGATTCCCCTGGGCGGTGCATGTGAGGGGCTCATCCCTGAGCCCCTTTTCTCCCCTTGTGTCTTTCAGTGAACTCCTTCACCCAGGAGGACCCCTGGCCTCGAGCGGCATGGGTGAGTGGATCCTGCTGGGCTCATGGGCCATGGACCAGGCCACGTGGGGTCCCTGAGGGTCAGCCTTCAGGACAGGAGGGATCTGACCCAAGGAAGACACCTTCCCTGAAGCGCTGCAGGAGGGACATTGGTCCCACGCAGGGCAGCTCCCAGCTGAGACTGGGCGCTAGGGTCTGGCCTTGAGGACTGCCCAGGCCACATGAGGGTGGCCCCAGGCTGTGATTTTTGGTGCGTGCTTGGAAAGGGAGTCTGTGCACCCTCCCCGTGCAGGGGCCGGCTGTGCGTCTGCCAGGTCTACAGTGGCGCCTAGCTTCAGAGCAAGCCTCCTTGGTTTGCCTGAGCTGGTTGGTGATCCTGGCTCCTACCCAGGGGTCACAGTGCAGCCCAGGAAGTGCAGGGAAGCTGGCTTGGACAGTGGAGGTGCTCCAGGGGCCTGCGGTAGGGCACAGCCTGGGCATCTTGCTTGAGCCTAGTTACTCGGCTGTCCTGTCCTTCCAGCGTTCAGTGGTGGGTACAAGGGTTCCCCGGGTCCATAACTGTCCCTATTTCACATGGATCCCATCACATGAGTCCATGGAGGTAGAGCATGTGTAGCCAGCAGCCCCTCCCTGCTTTCCTGCATGGAATCTTAAGACCCTGTTTGGACACCTTTCCCCTGTCCCTCCAGATGGTGAGCACAGAGGAAGAATTGCCTTGAGCTCTTTGGCCCCGGACCAGTGTCTGTCAATCACGTGCTCAGCCTCCCGTGTGCTAAAGCTTAGGTCCTTCCTGTCATCCTGGTCTCCTGCACTGAAGTATGGTGAGCCCATCCAGGTCCCTCTGGATGTGTGAGTGGGGATGGGGGAGTCCTGGGTTGGGTCGATGATGAGAACCTTATATCGTCCTGAAGAGAGGTGATGACTTAAAAATCATGCTCAATAGGATTACGCTGAGGCCCAACTTAGGTGAGAATTTTGAAAGAGGATGCTGGGAATCACAAGGTCCCCAGCAGGACCACTATATTTTAGGCTGGAGACCTTGAGGCCCTGATGGGCATCTCATGGAGGGGTACCCAGCCCTGTCTGTGCTCCTTCATTAGGCACTCCAGGCTTCCTGTGTGGGCTTGGTGTCCGCACTCAGCTTTTCCGGGGGTGGGACACATTGGCGGCTCCTTCCTGAGTCAGATTCTCCTCGGTGTCTTTCAGTGAGCTCTTCCCACCAGCAGACCCCCTGGGATTGACTGGCATAGGTGAGTGGATACTGCTGGTGTCATGGGCCATGAGCCAAGCAGCATGGGGTCCCTGAGGGTCAACCCTTGGGCCACCTGGGTTTCCTCAGGAGCCGATCTGAATCCCGACTGGGGATGTGTTCTCCAGGAGGGAGGCTTCCTTGGGAAGTGGACACAAGGCAGAGGCCTTCTCTGAAGCTCTGCAGGGGTGGCAGTGGTCCAGGCAGGAAAGGGTTTCCTCAGGCCCACGCAGGGCAGTGAAGCTGGGCACCATGGGCATCTCCCGGGGGCTCTCCAACCCCAGAGAAGGGTGGGCAATTTGGCCCGTTGGGTCGGGCCGTGGAGATTCGAGGATTGCACCAAACCCATGACCCTCAATGGGACCGACCCTGTTAAGCAATGGGCCCTCCCAGTAACACCTCTTTGAGCCATGTGGGGGTGGCGCTGTTTCTCTGAGGTAGGGTCGAGACTAGCTCCGGCCAGTCGCTGATGGTGGTGCAATCCAGCCATGAGACTCGTGGGCTTTGGGCCAAGGGTGCAGCCCGTGTCCCGCTGGGGGATCACCCCTTCCTTATGGGCGAGTGGCGGGGAGGGTATCCTCCTGAGGTGGGAAAGCCTGCTGTGGAAGGAACTTTCCTGGAAATTTGCACTCCAGGCTGCTTCTGAGCCATGAGGTCATCTCCAGGGTGGCGGTGTCTTGGGCCCAACGAAAGGAGAAGACACCATATGTCTCCCGGTTGACTGAGTGTGGCCCTGCTCTGTGTGTGGGAGGTGTTGTGTGGGGCATGGATTGGGACCCACCAGAGAAAGCTCATGGCCCTGAAGCCCCAGGCTGCGATTTCCATTGCACCTTGAGGAGAGGCCTGGGTGCTTGCCCTCCATGCACAGGGCAGGCTGTGCAACTTCCGGGTTGGCAGTGGCGCATGGCGTCCGGGCCAGCGTCCTGGGTTCGCTGTGAGCTGGTTGGTGTCCCTGGCCCCTGCCCAGGGGTCCCGGTGCCGCCCGGGGTCATGAGGGAAGCCAGCATGGGCGAGGGAGGTGCTTGAGAGGCCTGCAGTAGGGCACAGACCGGGTGTCTTGCCCAAGCCCAGGAACCTGTCGGCCCTGTCCTTCCATGGTTCAGTGGCTGGGGGGCAAAGGGTCCCCCACGTCTGAGACACATCAGTGTTTCACATGGATCTCATCACATGGGTCCACAGAGAGAGAGCAAGTGTGAGCTGGCATCCTCCACCCCCTTCCCTGTCTGGAGGCCTGAGCCCCTGGTTGGACACATGTCCTCCTCCCGTCCCCCCAGGTGGTGACCCCAGAGGAAGACTTGCCTTTGGGTCGCTGGCCCCAGGCCGGTGGTCATCATCCAGGTGCCCAACTTTGGTGCACTAAAGCTCAGGCCCTTCCTGGCACCCTGGTCTCCTGCACTGAGCTATGGTGAGCCCATCTGGGTCCCATTGGATGCGTATGTGGGGAGGGGGGTGCCCTGGGTTGGGTCGATGATGAGAACCTTATATTGTCCTGAAGAGAGGTGATGACTTAAAAATCATGCTCAATAGGATTACGCTGAGGCCCAGCCTAGGAGAGAATTTTGGAAGAGGACTCTGGGATCCCATGGTCCCAGCAGGGCCACGGTATTTTGGACTGGAGACCTGGAGGCCCTGAAGGGCATCTCAGGAATGCCCAACCCTGTCTCTGCACTTGTCCTTGAGGCAGCCCCGGCTCCCTGTGTGGGCTTGGTGTCGGCCCTTCAATTCCCCACGGGCGGCGCATATTGGAGGCTCCTTCCTGAGCCCCAGTTCTCCTGTATGTCTTTCAGTGAACTCTTCTGTCCACACGAGCCCCTGGCCTTGAGTGGGATAGGTAAGTGGATCCTGCTGGGGCCATGGGACATGAGCCAGGCAGCTTTGGGTCACTGAGGGTCACCCTTCAGGCCAAGAGGGATTCCTCAGGGACCCAACCTGAAACCACCAGGGATGGATGGTTTCTCCAGGAGGGCAGCTTCCTTGGACATCTGTCCCTAGAAGGACGCATTCCTTGGAGCTATGCAGAAATGATGGCGGTCCAGGCAGGAAAGGGTTCCTTCAACCCAACACAGTGCATGTCCTAGCTGAGACTCATTGCACGAGTCAGGCCTGAAGGACTTCCCAGGCCACATGAGGGGGTCTGCAGTATCTGCGGGGGCCACAGGTGTTATGCGGGAGCTCTTGGTGCCTGAGGCTTGTGGAGGGGTAGGGTGAGGGTGATCAGGCTTATGGAGTTGGGCTGTGAAGATTCAAGGATTGGTCCCAACCCATGGCCCAGAATGGACTGACCCTGTTGAGCAATTGGCCATCCCAGCAGTGCCTCCTTGAGCCTGGTTGGGGCGGTGTGGCCTCAGTAGGGTTGGGTCAAGGCTGACCTCTCACCTTCACCTGGTGGTGCTGCAGACTGGCCCTGGGAATCGTGGGCTTTGGGCCAAGGGTGCAGCCCGCAGCCCGCTAAAGGTGACCCCTCGTTGAAGTGGAGTGGCCAGAAGAGTGGGATCGTGTTGGGGAAGTCCCACTGTAAAGGGTCCTGTCCTGGCAATTTGCTGCCCAGGATGCTTCTGAGACATGGGGTCACCGGCAGGGTGGCATATTTTGAGCCGAAAGAAAGGAGAGGACATCATGTGTCCCCTGATTGGCCGAGTGTGGCCTGGCTCTGTGTTTGGGAGGTGTGTGGTACATGAATGGGGACCCACCAGAGAAGGCACATGGCCCTAGGGACCCAGGATGTGATTTCCTGTGTGAGCTTGTAGAGGTCGCCTGGATGGGTGCATTCCATGCCCAGGGGCAGGCTGTGTGAGTGCCACGTCTGCAGTGGCACATGGCATCCAGGCCAGCCTCCTTGGTTTGCCATGAGCTGGTTGGCCCTGACCCAGGCCCAGTGGTCCTGGTGCAGCCCTGGGGTCATGTGGGGGAACCGATGTCGGCAGGGGAAGTGCTCCCTGGGCCTGCTGTAGGGTGTGGCCCATGGTAGGGTGCCGCCCGGGGGTTCTGGTCTGAGCACAGTGACCCACCTGCCCTGTCCTTCCAGGGTTCGGCGATGGAGAGGGTCAAGGGTCCCCTGCGTTCATGATGAGTCCGTGTTCCCCACGGATCTCATCACATGGGTCCATGGAGGGCAAGGATGGGTGAGCTGGCACCCCCTGCACACTTCCATGTGTGGAGTGGTGAGGCCATTTGGACCCATGTCTTCCACCTGTCCCCTCAGATGGTGAGCCCCGAGGAAGAATTGCTTTGGGCCACCTTGCCCCAGGCCAGTGTCCATCAGCCAGGTGCCCAGCCGCCGGTGCGCTGAAGCTCAGACCCTCCTGGTGTCCCAGTCTCCTACACTGAGCTGTGGTGAGCCCATTTGGGTTCCTGTGATGACTGTGCAGGGAGGGGGTTGCCCTGGGTTGGGTCGATGATGTGAACCTTATATTGTCTGAAGAGAGGTGATGACATAAAAATCATGCTCAATAGGATTACGCTGAGGCCCAGCCTGGGTGAGAATATTGAAGGAGGATTCTGGGAATTACAAGTTCCCCAGCAGGAGCACTGTATTTTGGGCTGGAGACCTGGAGGCTCTGAGGGCATCTGGAGGGTGCCCAACCCTGTCTCTGCACTCCTCCGTGAGGCAGCCAAGGCTCACTATGTGGGCTTGGTGTCAGCCCTCCCCTTACCTGGGGGCAGGGTACTTTGGTGGTTCCTTCCTGAGCCCCCATTCTCCCCTGTGTCTTTCAGTGAGCTCTTCTGCCCAGCAGACTCCTTGCATTGACCAGCATAGGTGAGTGGATCCTGGTGGCATCATGGGTGATGAGTCAGGCTGCGTGTGGGGTTACCAAGTATTAGCCTTCAGGCAGAAGGGTTTCCTCAGGGAGTTGACCTGAATTTTCACTGTGGAGAGATGGGTTTGTCCTCTAGGAAGGCAGCTTTCAGGGGAATCAGACCCAAGACGATGCCTTCCCTGAAGCCCTGCAGGGGTGAGAGTGGTCCAGTCTGGAAGGGGTTCCTTTAGTCTCCTGCAGGGCAGCTCCAAGCTGACACATGGTGTGTGAGTCTGTCCCTTCCCCAGAGAGGGGTGGGCAGCTGGGCCCGTGGGGTCAGGCTGTGGAGATTCAAGGATCACACCCCACTCATGGCCCTGAATGCGAATGACCCTGTTAAGCAATGGGCCACCCCAGTGGCGCCTCCTGGAACCTGGTGGGTGGCAGCTTGGCTTCAACTGGTTGGGTCAACGCAGAGCCATGTCTGGTGCTTCATGGTGCTCCAGGCTGGCCCTGGGATCATGGGCTTTGGGTCAAAGGTGCAGCCCGCCTGCTGCTGGGGGTCACCCTTTCTTCGAGGTCAATGGTGGGAAGGGTTGCGTCCCCAGGTTGGAAGGCCCCCTCATGAGGGACCTGTCCCAGGAATTTGTTGCCCAGACTACTGCTGAGCGATGGGGTCACCTCCAGGGTGGCAGGGTCTTGGGCCCAAGGAAAGGAGGGGGCACCATGTGGCTGCTGATTGGCCAAGTGTGGTCCAGCTCTGTGTTTGACAGGGGTCTGGGATGTGGATGAGGACCCAGCAGAGAAAGCATGTGGCCCTGGGCCCCAGGCTGTGATTTCTGGTGCGTGCTTGGAGAGGGAGCTTGGGTGGGTGTCCTCCCTGTACTGGGGCAGGCTGTGGGACTGCCAGGTCAGCGGCAGTGCCTGGCATCCGGTCCAGCCTCCTTGGTTGGCCGTGAGCTGGTTGGTGACCTTGGACCCTGCCCAGGGGTTCTGTTGTGGTCCAGAGTCGTGTAGTGGAGCCAGCATGGGCAGTGGAGGTGTCACAGGGGCTGCTGTATGGCACAGCCTGGGCATCTTGCCTGAACCCAGTCTCTCGCCTCCTCTGTCCTTTGAGGGTTTGGTGGCAGAGAGGGCCAAGGGTTCCCTGGGTCCATGATTGTCATTATTTCATATAGATCCCATCACATGGGTCCATGGAGGGAGAGCATGTGAGCCCCAGCACCCCCTCCTCACTTTCCCGCACAGAGGCATGAAGCCCCATTTCGACATCTGTCCCCTGTCCCTCCAGATGGTGACCCCAGAGGAAGACTTGCATTGTGCCCACTGGACCCAGGCCAGTGGCCAGTTGCCAAACCCCTGTTGAGCTGAAGCTCAGGCCCTCCTGGGTCCTGGTCTCCTGCATTGAGCTTGGTGAGCACATCTTGGTCCTGCTGGATACGTGTGTGGGGAGGGGGTGCCCTGGGTTGGGTCGATGATGAGAACCTTATATTGTCTGAAGAGAGGTGATGACATAAAAAT